GGGCGAACTGGCTCCCTGACACCCCCCCCCACCCTGGCCTCACATACCCACTACCCCTGGGCCCAGGCTCTGAGCCAAGCTCTGGCCAGCTCCACCCCACAGCTCACTGACCCTCCTTCACCTTTCCCTCCTCATTCTTCCCAGGAAATCCTTGTTTTCTGACTTCTTGCACAGTGCATCCCCAGGAGACTCTGTTTTGGCTGCTGGCCTCTTCCCCCTCCCAACCCTTCTGGGACAGACTGGATCAGAGGCTCCATGCCCCCCCCCCCCACTTGCCTTGCCCAGGATCTCCTGGGGACAAAGTTTAAGACATTGGGTTAGGTCACATCCATTCCTTTACAGGGCAGAGGGACGAGCTGGCCCTTCCTGGACTTCGGCTCATTCCTCCCCCTCCCAGTGGGGCCTGGCCTTGTCTGGCCCCCATTTCACCCCTAGCCCCCAGTCCTCCTCCCTAGTGCCTCCACTCATTTCTCAGCATCTACTTAGAGTTGGAAGGAATATGAGAAGGCATCTAGTTCAGCGCCCCCCCCCCCCCACCCCACGCAGGCCCGGAGTTAAGTGACTTGCCCAGAGCCACGCAGGTAGTAGGTAGCGGAGGCAGGCCAGGCCCTCCAACTCCCAGTCCAGCTCCCACAGCGTTTTCTGCCTTCTCCCCTTGACCCCCCAGCTCCCTGCTTGTGCCCCCTGTCCCCATTGCCTCTGGCCCAGCTTGGCCTCAGCCCCTTGCCCTGGCACAGGGTGCCCTCTGCTCCAGTTCTCCAGTGAGCACATACCCCAAGCCACAGCAGCCTCTGCTCTCACTCCCCTCTAACCCAGTCTCTGTCTGTCCCTGGCAGCCCGTGGGGCCCAGTCTACTCACTGTCCATCCGCCAAGACTGCCCCCAGGCCTGGCCACCGACCTCAGGCCTCCCTCCCCTGCCCCCAGGCTGAAGGGCCTGCTGCTAATCAGCTTTTGTTCTTGAAGCTGGGAGGGGGGAGAGATAGGGCACACGCACCCCCACCCCTGGATCACCCAGTGCCAGGCAGTGGGGGCCAGCCCAGCTCTCATCCTGAATGGCCCTCTGTTAGTCACCCCTCAGGCTGCAGCGGTCCCTCTGGAAAGTCGGGGTGATCATTCCAGCCCCCCCCCCACATGACCAACCTTTCTGGTCGTGGCATGGTCACTCAACAGGCATCCACTTCTTGGTGACAGGCTCGCTCTATGGTGCCTCACTTTCCTTTTCTGTTAAAATAAAGAAGGGCTTGGAGGAGATGTGTAAGATTGTTTCTAGCTGGAAACCTACTGATCCATCCATCCATCCATTCCCATGGAGATGGAGGCCAAGGGTGATATCTGGGGGCAGGAGCGAGGGGCTCGCAGGATTCTGGGGGGCCAGGCTAGACCTTTGAGCAGTCAGGGGGTGGAGCCAGGCACTGAAATCCCCCAGGCCAAACCCCAGGGTCCTCAGTAGGGAAGGATGCCTCAGTTCTGGAGGCTGGAGCAGGGGCTAGATGTGGCCACATGAGGCCTACAGAACGTCTGTAAAACGGGCTCAGTCAAAAGGCTGCACTTAAGGATCTAGAAGGGCACATGAGGCCTCAAGGCCAGGATCCCCACCCCAGGGCTAGATCAAGGAATGGGGGGAAGGGGAGGACTGGTTGCTACGCCTACTATGTGCTAAGTGCTGGGGTTACAAAAAAGGGGCACAATTCAGTCCCTGCTCCCGGGGAGCGCACAGTCTGATGGGGGAGAAAAAGGACAAAGAAGCCAGAGCCCGGAAACGCTGAAGGGCTGCGAGTGCTAGAATGGGTACAAGGTGGGATTCTAGCTGGCACCTGAACCAAGCCAGAAGGGGTGAGGAGGGAGAGCGGCCAGGCAGGAGGGACGGCCAGGGAAAATGCCCTGATCCGAGCCCGGGGCAGGCCATCTCGAGGGGGCCAGGAGATTGTTGATATCCTGCTTTCCCCCATGTGCCAGGAGCTGCAGCCAGAGGAGGAGGGCGGGGGCTGGAGGCGTGGCCCTTTCCCAAGAGGGTGGAGTCTGCCCCTCCCCTCCCAGGTTTTATAGGCCAGAGAGCTCCTTTCTGGGCAGGCAGTTAGAGGCAGCTGCCCCAGGGCCTGGATTTGGGCAGGGAGATGCTGGGGTTAAACAAGGAAAGAAAAACGGGTGAGTTGTGTGGTCCCTTATCTGCCCAGGAGCCTTCAGGAGAGGACAGAGAGGAAGATGGCAGGGCAGAGGGGCCTTTGCCGTGCTTTGGGCAGGGGGCCTAGAGGAACAAGACTTGGGGCTGGATGCCTGAATTTGGGGAGAAAACTGGAGACTGAGTGGGAGGGGGTGATTGGAGGAGGCAGGGGTAGGCCACTGGGGACTGCAAACTGGACGCTGGAGTCCTTGCAAGGAGAGAAGTGGGAATCAGACACGTAGGACCTGGGAGGGAGAGGAACTAGAAACCGGACGCCCGGGTCCTCGGAGGGAGACCCAGAAACTGGATCGCCCGGGCCCTGGGAAGGGGGGAGGCTGAGGATGCCCAGGAGGGCTGGAGGAAGGGGGAGACAGGGAGGGGCCTGGCTGCAGTGACCCTTGGGCCCTGGGAGCTGTGGGCACCTAGGGATGGTGCTGGACATTTGAGGCCTGGGATGGAGAAGGGAGGCAAAGAGGCCTTGGCACAAGGGCCAGATCCCTAGATCCAAAGGGGACCCGTGCCCACCCCCAGCCACCATCCCTGTCTCCCTCCACAGCCTCCCGCCTGAGCTATGGCATGGACCTGAGAGCCACAACACAGTCCCTGGTGGCACTCGCAGAGGACAATGCTGCGTACTTTGCCAGCCAGGGTCCCGGGGAGACGGCCCGCCGCCTCGTGGCAACCTTCACGGCGATACGGGAGCAGGCATTGGGACTAGAGCCGGCCCTGGGCCAGCTGCTGGGCGTAGCCCACCTCTTTGACCTGGATGCCGAGACGCCCGCCAACGGCTACCGCAGCCTGGTACACACGGCGCGCTGCTGCCTCGCCCACCTGCTCCACAAGGCCCGCTATGTGGCCTCCAGCCGCAAGAGCATCTTCTTCCGCGCCGGCCACAACCTGGCCGAGCTGGAGGCGTACCTGGCGGCCCTGACGCAGCTGCGAGCCCTGGCCTACTATGCCCAGCGCCTGCTGGCCACCAACCGTCCGGGCGGCCTCTTCTTTGAGGGTGATGGGGGGCTCAACGCAGACTTCCTCAGAGAGTACGGCACCCTGCACAAGGGCTGCTTCTACGGCCGCTGCTTGGGCTTCCAGGTGAGGGCCCCCGGCCACAGCCACGGCTGCAGGGGGGCTGGGCAGGGCACTGCTTTGCTGAAGCCTTCTCCCCATGGGGCAGGTGAGGGAAGGGCCGTAGATTAGAGACTGTCAGAGCCGGAGGGGACCTTGGGACCCAGAGCTGGGAGGGACCCTCCAACAGAAGGTCTGGAACCCACAAATGGAGAAGAAGTGGAGGCCCAGTGATGGGGCCCGGCCTCCCCGAGGGCACACAGGAAGGCAGGGGCAGAGCCTCGAAGCTATTTCTCACACTGCCTTCTCCCCCCACCTCTGGAATCTCTCCAGCGTCCTCGGCCCCTTGGGGCTGGTGCCCATGGCCGTGACCTCTGGAGAGCTCCCTGGAGTCCCCCTGGACCTACCTCACCTGCTGGGGCAGGGGGCAGGGGCCCTGATGCCCGGGATCTGGGGCACGTCCTTGTCCTCCACCCTTCCCCCGACAGAGAAAAAGAAAAGTCAGCAGATGTTTACCAAGCTCTGGGCACATGTACAGAATGGTGCTCTGTGCTCATAAATACCCGGCTCTGACCTTGGGGTCCTGGGGCTTTCTTTAGAGTGCCAGCCTCCCCCCCCACAGGAATCCCGTGGCAGGCCCGCTGACCTTTGTTCCACTGGGCCAGGAAGCTCACAGTGGGCAGCTCAGCTGGACCTGCCTCAGGGTGGAGAGGGAGAGGGTCAGTACAGGGGCCACACCCTCCGGCTGCCATCAGAAGGGAGGCCCACCAGCCCTTGGCCTGCAGCCACTCTGTGCCTCCCTATCTCTCTGCCTCTAAGTCACTCCCGTAGCTCAGCTGTCTATCTTGAGAGATGTGAGAGACAGTCCTGCCCGCAGCGCCTCCCTCCCTCTGGGAGGTCACGCAAGGCCCCTGAGGCAGGGCCGTCAGCCTGTGGCACGTCTGGGGATGCGAGGGTCCAGGACACCCCCGGTTCAGGTCCAGCTCTGTCCCTCTGCAGCCCTGGAGGCTCTCCTGGGCTCTCGTTTTCAGAGGAGGTGCTGACCTATACCGGTAGCAGGAGTTCCCTCCCGTGGGAGTCCCCCCCCTCATTTTACATGAGGCCCAGAGAGGGCAGGTGGCTTGTTCTCCTGCTCCCACTCCTCCTCCTTCCATCCCCCAGGGCTCTCCATCCCCATCTCATCAGCTTCCTATCTCATCATCTCTCGCTTCCCCATTTCTTTCCATAACTCCTGTCTCACCTGCCCAGAGCTGGAATTTCAGCACTGGCAGGGATGTGGCGGCCGCCTGGCCTGGCCCGGCCCTCACCAAGGGTCCGTCCCTGCCCCCACGCTCACCGCTGACATCCGGCCTCCCTGTGGCTTCCTCTTATTGTCCCCCACTCTGGCCCCCAGAGCCAAGGCCTCTCTGAGTGGGACGTGCCCACAGCAGCCAGGGTGGCTGCTCCAGCAGGTTTTGGGAAGCCCCTGCTGCATGCCAGGCCCCGTGCTTCTGGATGCAAACACAAAACACTGCCTGACCTCAAGAGGCTTGCATTCAGTCAGGAGACAACATGCACCCAGATAGCAAAGCAAACTGTGAAATACCAAGTACGAGGGAGTTTGGAGCCCGGGGCACCAGGCAGGGCTGGGCTGCCTGGAGGAGGAGGAGGGCCTGGAGCATAGTCTGCGGGAAAGTGGGGGGTTCTGAAAGGCAGAGCTTTGCAGATGAGGAAGCCTGCGGGCGCCCAAGCAGGGAGCAGGCCCACTGGAAACCTGACAGAGGACAAAGCCCGCTCCCAGGCACAAGGGGGCAGGTCAGAGGTGCCCGAGCAGCACACGCACTCCTCACGGGCCGACGTGATCCCTAATGACCTGCCACAGCCACAGCAGGGGACGAAGCCTGCCCCCGGCAGAGACTGAGGCTAGGTCCGGGCACAGGCAGGGATGTCTCTGGGAGCCTGCGGGGGCTGGTCATGGCTGCATCAGGGGCTGAGCCAGCTGCCAGCTGGTGATTGTGCAAGGAGGAGACCTAGACAGAGCTGAAGCCAGTGCCGGCTTTGGGCCGCCAGGAGACGGGCAGAGGCCAGGAACTGGACGGGCAGCTAGGTGGTGGCTCAGTGGTCAGCAAGCCACGCCTGGAGTCTGGAGAAGACCCAAGTTCAGATGTGGCCTCGGACACTTACTAGCTGGGCAAGTCATTTCACCCTGCTTGCCTCAGTTTCCTCCTCTGTAAAATGAGCCGGAGAAGGCAGTGGCAAACCTCTCTAATATCTCTACCAAGAAAACCCCAAATGGGGTCACGGAGAGTCAGACCCAACTGAGGCGACTGAACAACAGCAGCCCGAATGGACCCCCACCCCCCAACAAGTTGGCCGCCCCAGGGCTGGCTTCATCTCCCCGCACAGGGGCCAAGGGGCCCCAAGGCCTTAGAGGGACCAGCCTGAGCCCCCATCCTGATGTTTTCTCCCCAGTATCAGTTGCCAGTTACCTCCTCAGTGTCATTAACACCATCAGTTGGCACCCCAGGATCCTTTAACCAAGGGACGTGCATCAGCTTTTACCAAAAGGACATTCACATCGTCCCAAGTCGCCTCACACCTGCCCCCCGACTTCCCTGGCGTGGGCACCGCTTCCTAGACGCTCCAGAGCTCACGCGCCCACGGCCTCATCAATCCTCCCTCCAATCCTCCGTCACCCGAGGGCCAGAAAGGCAGGAAGTGACCCAGGGCCCACTGTGGACTCGCCGGAGTCCCCGGCACGGACCCTGTCGCCTCGCGATGGCCCGGGCTCGGCAGCCCAAGAGGGCCTTCCTTGGTCTTGTAATAACAGTAGGAGCGATAGTCGTAGCTAACATTTGTGTGGCGCCTACTATGTGCCGGGCCCGTGCTCGGTAGCGCCTACTGCGTGCCAGGCCCTATGCCAGGCACTGTGCGAGATGCTTTTTACAAGCAGGATTCGTTTGATCCTCACAACCCCAGGAGACAGGCGCTCTTATGATCCTCCTTTGACAGATGAGGAAACTGAGGCAGAGTGAAGTGACTTTGGTCACACAGTCAGGATTGTCTGCCTGTACAGATGACAGCGAGCCATCACCTCTGTTGGGTTGTCCCGGGGCTGGCTCCCACTCCACATAGCGGCCTCCCTCTGGTCATCCTCCACCCACCCCCCCCCCAGGCCACCAGATCTTGCTGTTTCTTCCTATTCTCACCACACAGCCCCACCCTGGGAGAGGGTCTCTTCACCTCCCTCAGTTGCAGCAGCTTCCTGGCTGGTTCCCCCACACTGCCAAATGCTCGCCCGCCAGACTGTCACTCCTCCTCTCCATAAGCTTCGTGGCTCCCTATTCCCTTCAGGACCAAACATGAGCTCCCTTGTTTGGCATGGAAGCCCTCCCTGGCACGGATGCTGCTCCCCATCACAGGCCCTACTGTCCATAGAGCCCTTCCTGGCACCTTTGTCTTGGCTGGAAACACTTGATAAAATATTAGTGTTTGTTGATTGAACAAAGGGGTGCCTGGCCCCTGCAGCAGTTGGGTAGTGCCGCCCTCCCCTCCCGCTCCTCCTCCTCCCTTTCCTCCTCCCTTCTCCCCCCTCCTCCTTCTTCCTCCCCATCCTCCCCCTCCCTGCCCTTCCCCCTCCCCCTCCTCCTCCTCCCTTCTCCCCCCTCCCCCTTCCTCCTCCCCATCCTCCCC